CGCCTGGCTAGTTTTTTGTATTTTTTTAAGTAGAGATGGGGTTTCACCGTGTTAGCCAGGATGGTCTCGATCTCCTGACCTCATGATCCGCCCGTCTCAGCCTCCCAAAGTGCTGGGATTACAAGCTTGAGCCGCCGCGCCCAGCCACAAAAATATATATTGCATTAGTACTGTACAAAAGGTTTCCTGATATGATGGCCATTTGTGAAACCACCCCTGACTAAGTGAGACTGGGGACACTGGGGCCATCTTCCCAAGGGCCCAGTCCCTGCCCTTGAAGTACTTGTGGCAACCCACAGTGGCCAGAAGTGTGGCTGAAGGAGAGTGGCCTGAATAATGCCTCCAGGAGAAGGCTGGGGGTTCCTTGGGCACTGGAGAAATAGTTCCAACCAAAGTCAGAGGGTTGCCTCCAGTAACCCCTGACCTTCCTCCTCCTCCACTCACCCTCAACACCAGCCAGAGGTCTGCAGCCCATTGGGTACAAGTGAGAAGGAGGGGACCTTCTGAGGCCAAGAGCCTTCCCTTTGCCCAGGCCTTGTAGATTCTGCCATGGCATTGCTGCTGGAATCCAGCTCCACAGTTCAGGCCTAGTCCTGCCTGAGCCAGAAGGACCCCTCCCCTTTATGCCAGAGAGCCAGGCTCCTCTGCCCTCCTAGGGCTCAGGACAACATTGGGACAGGTCTCCAATTATCATCTCCCAGCTGCTTCCTTCCTGGAGCCAAAAGAGCTCCTCATCCCCTCTCTTACCCCCTCTTTATGCCAGCACCTCCTTCCCTACCTCCTGGGGGATCTCAGTGTGTCTGGAGTGGAGCAAACAGTGTACCAGTCTGAGATGGGTGGTGACTGTGGAGTGGGAGGGTCCCCAGGTCACCCAGTTTTCCCAGGCAGATTATGGCAGGGAGGGGTCCCAGCTCCCAGCTGCTGGAGCAGGCAGAGGGGAGGGCATGGAGCTCACAGCTGCACTTTATGACTGCAGTCCCACAAATCTAACAGTTGGCAGTGGGGAGGGGCTGCTGAGCAGCCTGCACAGACAGCGGAGCAGGGACTACCCCTCACTGCCTCCTCCAGGCCGCCGCTCAGCCCTCAGGTGCTCTGGCATTGGGGCCATTAGGGTGAGGTGGGCAGGAGCTAGATACTAAGGGGTGGCAGAAAGAGGGGAGGGGGTAGAAGAGATGCTCTGCTCTCTCTGAGGGGCGGTGGCAAGGAGGAGCTTTGATGTGAAAAGCTTTAGAATCTGTTTAAGAACCTTTGAGATCCTTGGCTTTTATATAACAAAAAAAGTAAACTGAGGCTCAGGGAGAAGGGAGTGCCTGGGTAGCCTAGCTGTCCTGGCTTCCTACTTTGTATTGATTTAACTTCTTTCTGCAGGGCCCCAGCTGAGCTGGGAGGATGAACCTGGGCTTCTGGTTGAGGGTGGGGGAACATCCTGTCCTTAGGAGAGGGAAGTCAGTGACGAGCCTTCTGGGGGGCTCTGAAGACTCAGGAATGATTTTAACTCTTTCAGCAGGCTAGGCACTTGAAATCAGAACGTTGGGAGAGAAAAACCCAGGCCAGAGACACCCTGGGTGTCTTAGCAACTTTTCTGAGATCTCAGGCTATCCATTTATTTATTTTTGAGACAGGGTCTCACTCTGTTGCCCAGGCTGGAGTGCAGTGGCGAGATTATGGCTAAGTGCAGCCTCGACCTCCTGGCTTCAAGCTATCCTCCAGTCTCAGTCTCTTGAGTAGCTGGGACTACAGGCACGTGCCACCATGCCCAACTTATTTTGGGGGTCTGTTTTGTTTTGTAGAGATGGGGTTTTGCCATGTTGCCCAGGCTGGTCTCCACCTCCTGAGCTCAAGCCATCCACCCACCTCAGCCTCCCAAAGTGCTGGGATTACAGGCATGAGCCACCACACCCAGCCTCATTAATTTAGGTATTTATTCAGTCTACAAATCTCTTCCCTTTCAGAGCCTAAGAACCTAATTTGTAAAATGGGGATGTTAATGTCTAAACTCTGCCTTTGGGCACAGAGTGAGAGGCTGGCAAGACAATGGTGGAGAAAGCCGGTTGTTTTCTTTTCTTTTTTTTTTTTGAGACGGAGTTTCATTCTATGGCCCAGGCTGGAGTGCAATGGTGTGATCTTGGCTCACTGCAACCTCTGCCACCTGAGTTCAAGCCATTCTCCTGCCTCAGCCTTCCGAGTAGCTGGGATTACAGGCGCCCACCACCATGCCCAGCTAATTTTTGTATTTTTAGTAGAGACGGGGTTTCACCATGTTGGCCAGGCTGGTCTCCGACGCCTGACCTCAGGTGATCCACCCACCTCTGCCTCCCAAAGTGCAGGGATTACAGGCGTGAGCCACCGCGCGGGGCGAAAGTAGGTTGTTTTCAATGAAAGACATTCCTGAGCGGCAATGGGCTTGTTGGGCCGTAGCAGCCTGACCTCCCTGTTACCCCTACGCCTGTTCCAGCCACCAGCAAGTCCTCGGAGTGGCCCTGATTTTCCTTGAACCTGAGCAGCCCAGGGAAAAGACACAGGGATCGATTCCAATCTAGCAAGCAGATCCAGGCACCGGCCAGCCCTGCACAGATCAATGCATCCTGTTCCAGGCAGGA